CTATATCACGACAATCTTATAAATGCTATTTGGTTTTCGTGGGCGACTACTCTTTCTTTACATGGATTTATCTTCTCCACTACTTCTTAATACTCCTATCCATTTGAACTAATTCACTCTGATGTATGGGGCCCTTCCTCCACTTTATCGCGACAATCTTATAAATACTACTTGGTTTTCATTGATGACTACTCTCGCTATACATGGATTTATCTTCTCCATAAAAAAAGAAAAATGAAACTACACAAATTTTGTGAATTCAAAACAATGGCTAAAACAGAATTTCCCTATAAAATCAAAACAATTAGTACCGACGGTAGTAGCGAATACATTAATCATAACATTTAAAATCTCATTAAATAATATGGCATACAACAACTATACACATGCCTCGACAAACCTGAAAAAGGTGTTGCCGAGCGCAAGAACTGCCAACTCATCAAAACCGTCCCCACCCTCATGACCATTGCCTCTCTACCCTCCCAATTTTGGGGCGATACATTACTCACGACATGCATCTCAATAACCGCCTACAGTAACCGCCTGCCCTCAACTACTACAGCCTCCAAATCCAACTTTTTCATCATCGCATACCATCCTACAATCACCTCAAAATACTTGGATGTCTATGCTACCCTTGGCTTTGACCATATGCTCAACACAAACTTCCTTAGCAATACCATCTACCAGAAAGGTTACCGATGCCTTGAACACAAAACCAATAGAATCTACATCTCTCGTCACGTCCTTTTCAATGAACAAATATTTCTTTTCCACCAAGTTCCCACCACCACAACTCATTACCCTTCCTCCACTACTTCTCACACCCACTTCAAGCCTACCAAATTACATTAAGAATTACTCCGTCCCAGCAGCAGAGAATCCCACACTACAAACACCATCAACCTTCAACTTCAGCTTTCTTTCACCCATAATCCAGCAACAAAAACTGCCACCACCCATACACCCTAACAAACTACTCCCACCCACATCCCTTCATCCCTTCTTTCCATGGAAACACGCCTCAAAACAAGTAAACTCAAACAATGCCAAATCCTCAACCTCACTCATCAAACACAATCCAAACCAACATGTTATTGCTCTGCCATCAAACATCAAAATTGGCATGGAGCTACATATGTTCACTGAATTCCAAGCCTTACAATCCCAGGGAACCTGGTTTCTTGTTCCACCGTCACCCCACCAAAATGTTCTCGGCTGCAAATGGACTTATCACACCAAACTCAATGCCGACGGGTCCATAGCTCACTACAAAGCCTGCTTGGTAGCCCAAGGCTTCAAGCAACAACGTGGCCTTGACTACACTGAAACGTTCAGCCCAATTGCCAAACTTCTTACCATTTCAGTCTTTATTACAGTCGCCCTCACTCATCAATGGCCCATTCTCCAACTCAATGTGTCCAAACACGAGCAACTCACTGAAACTATTCATATGTCGCAACCTCAAGGATTTGTTCATGCCACCCATTCTCATCATGCCCACCTCCTAAAGAAAGCTTTGTATGACCTCAAACAAGCCCATGACAGTTGTTTGCTATGCTCTCCAACTACTTCCAAACAATCGGCTTTCAGCCGAACTTAGCCGACCACTCCCTTGTCTACTTGCACACCAATACCATCCATCTCTACATGCTCGTATACGTAGATGATACTCTACTCACCGGGAACAATTCATTCCTTATTCAATCCACCATCCAAAAGCTACAAACTCAGTTTCATATGAAAATCCTAGGACCGCTCTCACACTTTCTTGGCAGCAAAGCCACAATAGATGATACGACATTCACCTGTCCCAGTCAACCTATGCTATAGAGATCCTAACCTATGCTACAGAGAAATCTTGATCTCAGCATCATGCCAAACCCCACACTATACGCCAGATTGTGGGATCCCTCCAGCACTTCGCATTAACCCGTCCATATATCTCCTTCGCCGTCAACCTCTCCTCCATCACATGCAGCAAACTACACAGTACCACTTTCATCAGCTCAAGAGGATTCTATGCTACATTAATGGCATCAAAATTTTTGGTCTTCCTATCTACAAATCAACTCTCAACCTTACAACCTACACAGACTCTGATTGGGCAGGAAATCCCACTGATTGCAAGTCCACACCCAGTTACTATTCTCTTCTTGGATAAACTCCAATCTCATGATAAGCCAAGAAACAAGCCACTGTTGCTTGATCCTCCACCAAAACTGAATACAGAGCCCTTGCCTTAGCTGCCGCGGACATCATCTAGCTACGGCGCTTATTGACAGATTTTCATACTCCTCAATTACAACCAACCATTCTCTACTGTGATAACACATCTATCATTGCTCTAGCCAACAGTCCTGTTTTCTTACACTAGAGCCAAACACATTGAGGTTGACTGTCACTTCATCAGCGATTGTATCAAATAAGACCTCATCATAACCACTCAAAATCAGCTGGCAGATATCTTCACCAAGGCAGTCTCCAACTCTAGAATTTAGCAACTCGGACTCCAGGTTGACACTTTCACCTAAAATCATAAGCTTGAGTGGGGAAGTAACAATCATTGCTCCATAACCAAAACGAGTGCACAACCAACAGATCGCCATACCTCCACTCCATATTTGCACTACAAGAAATCAATGTCGTCCACCAATAAGCACTTCAATATGTTGAGCTGTGCAGACTAAGCATAAGGCATATGCACTGGGTTGTGGCTGCTAAATGCCCACTTGAGTTCTGCTCGAACAGAAGAGTTAGCGCCTATGTGCCGGCTTTGGGCGTATATGCGCCCACTTTAAGGCCCACTTTAAAGTGGGTCGACAGAGGAGGGAGGCGCGGTGCTTAGGTGCCAACTAAAGTGCCTGTTTCTTGAGAGCTTGACGCATAGGCGTCAAATCTAGGCGACTATGCGCCAAGAGTGGTTGGTGCAGGAATTGGTTTTTAATCTCGATTTCGTACTGCGTAAGATAGTACTTGGTGTATCTTTCTTCAATATTCTTCGACGAGCATCCCATAGATGATGGGGAGTGTCATAGAGGAGGATTTTGGCAGTTCGATATGATTTTTGCATTGGATCGGAGAGGGGAGATAGTGGAGCGAGTGCTGTAAGTTTTTTTTTGTATGTGGAGAGAAAACTTGTGTGAGTTCTTTAAACATTTGTGAGTTCTTTGTAAAACTTTCTGAACTTTATAGTGGACGTTTCTTGTGATATGATTTTGTGGTTTTTTCTCATTCTAGGTTTTTTTCACCTAATTCTCGTGCACTTTTTCGGTTGCTTTGATTGTGATATTTTAATTTTTGTTCCATTTTTTTATCAAGTTGATGTGATCTCATTATTTTGTGGTATGATTTAGTTTCTAATTGATCCTAAGCCCCAATAAAGTTGAGAATTGTTCGTTGGAGATTTTATAACAAACTGGTATCATAGTGGAGTTTGATTTTAGTGGGAGCAATGTTCTGAGAAGCAATGTTTAAAGTGGAGGAATTCAATGGGAAGAACTTCGCTTTCTTGAAGATGCAGGTGGAAAATTTGTTGTATAAAAAAAATTATATTTGTCATTATAAGAAATCACAAATAAGCTTGAATCTATGCTTATGCAAGAATTAAAAGTGTTGGATCGAATGATACTGGGTTTAATCAGGTTGACACTTTCCTCATCTGTTGCGTTCAACATTGTGGATGAGAAGACTATAGTAGATCTCGTGGCGGCACTAAACAAGATATACAAAAAACCTTCTCCTTCTAATAAGGTTTTTCTGATGAAAAAGTTATTCAACATGAAGATGGTGGAAGACAGTTTAGTGGATATCATCTCAATAACTTCAACACTGTGATGAGCCAGTTGTGTTTTGTAGTGATCAAGTTTGAAAATGAGGTCAAAACAGTGGTGATACTATCTTCATTGTCAGAAAGCTGGAATGATTCCACAATAACGGTGAGTAATTTTACAAGGACTTCGATGATATGCTGAATGAAGAAGTTCGTACAAAAGTTAAGAATTGTGAATATTCAGTTTCTGAATTGAATGTTATTAACACAGGAAGAAATTTGGGCAGGAATATAGGCAGAGACAAATCCAAGTCCAAGAAAGGAAAGCCTAAGTCAATTGGAGGAGAATGCTGGAACTGCGGTAAGAAGGGACATTTCAAGAAGGACTGCAAAACTCCAAGGAAAACTGGTAGTGGAGGACAATAAATTAGATTCTCTACTAATGTCTCTACTGTTGAAATCCAAAGTGACCCCTTAGTGTTATCAATAGTCAGTACTGAATCCTGGATAGTGGATTCAGGTGCCTTTTTTCATACTTACCCCAATAAAGTGGTATTTAAAAACTATGCTCAGAGTGATTTAGGGAAGTTTTATTTGGGAGAAAATAAAGCCTGTAGTACAGTGAGAAAACCGAATGGAACAAACTGAAAGCTTACTGAAGTTAGACATATTCCCAGTTTGAAGAGAAATCTCATCTCTGTGAGCCAAGTAGCAAAGTCAGAACTAGTGACTACTTTCACAGGTAATTCATAGAAGGTGATTAGGAGGCATTGGTGATGGCTTGGGGGAACATTAAAGGCAACTTTTATCTGATCAATGAACGACTAATTTCGTTAATGGTGCTGGAAGTAGGGTGATTGCAGGTATGTGGCACTATAAACTTCGCCATATGAGCAAGAAATATATGAAGTCCATACTTTCGAAAAATAAACTTCAAAAGTTGAAATCAGTTGATCTAGATTTCCATGAAGACTATATATATGACAATTTTCTCCAAGAGCGGGTTAGTAATGAAATCAAAAAAATTAGAGTTAGTGTATACTGATGTATGAGACAATTTTCTAGTTCAATCCATTGGAGGTTCTCGCTATTTTGTCATATTCATTGATGATTAAACAAGAAAGGTATGCTTTTATTTATTAAAGTAGAAATCTGATATACTTGAAGTCTTTAAGAAATGGAAGGCCATGGTTGAAAATGAACGCACTTAAAAATGAAGTGTCTCAGATCAGATAATGATGACGAGTATCGTGATCAGAAGTTCAGGAATTTCTGTGCTACAGAGGGGGTCAGACATGAGTTCGTTGTCCCAAGGACACCGCAACAAAACAATATAACTGAGCGCATGAATTGAACAATCACGGAGTGTGCAAGAAACATGATGCTGCATGTAAGCTTGCCAAAACATTCTGGGCTAAAATAGTAAACACTGCAGTTTATCTGATCAGTTGTAGTCCATTAATACCTCTGAAGAAGCCTGGAGTGACACAAAAGTATGTTTATCTCAATTAAGAGCATTTGGATATTCCACATATGTGCATATTTATACAGAGTCTAGAAGCAAGCTATCAAGTGCACTTTCATTGGATATGACTCAAATGAATTTGGCTACAAATTTTGATATTACTAGAATCAGAAATATATTAGGAGCAGGGATATCACATTTAGCAAAATAGAGATGTAAAAGGATAGGGTCAAAATTCAAGATAGTCTGTCAGCTACTTCTGAAGAATCCAGACATGTGGAGATAGAAGATACTGATGATAAAAAAGAAAGATAAAGCAAGTGCTCAACCAAAACAAGCACTAGAAGTTCCTCAGTTATCTGCTACAGAAGTTAGGAGATCCAACAAAGTGAAATAACTCATACAAAGGTATTCTCCTTCTTTACATTGTTTGTTACTAACTGATAGTGGTGAAAGTACTTTTAGAAGGCCACTCAAGTTGAAGATCCAAGAGAGTGGGAGATTGTCATGGAAGAAGAAATGCAATCTTTACAGTGAAAACAGACTTGGAATTGATGATATATCAAATGATAAAAAGAGCACTACACAACAAGTGGGTCTACAGGCTGAAAGAGGAGTCAAATGGTAGCAAGCGCTACAAGGCAAGACTTGTTGTGAAGGGTTTCCAATAAAAGAAAGGAGTGAATTATACATAGATCTTTTCCCCAGTGTTGAAGATGCCTATTGTTTGGGTTGTGTTGAGTGTGGTAGCAGAGGAAGCTTTACATGTGGAGCATATGGATGTAAAAACAAATTTCCCACATGGAGATCTGGAAGAGCTATACATGGTGCAATTATAAAGTTATAAAGTTCCAAGAAAAGAACGTTTAGTCTGCAGATTAAAAAAGAGTCTCTATAGCTTGAATCAGACCCTAAGACAGTGGTACAAGAGGTTTGACAGGTTCATGTCATACAATGGATACATGAAGTGTCAAACAGACCACATGCTTCATCAAACACTTCGATAACTATTATATTGTGCTTCTTTTATATGTGGATAGCATGCTGCTTACAGAGATAGATATAAAGAAAATAATAAACTTGAAGAAACATTCATCAAGTGAGTTCGAGATGAAGGATTTAGGTCTAACCAAGAAGATCCTAAAGAGGTTATCTCAACAAGGACATGAGTGCAAGAATACTTAAGTTATCTCAGGAAGAATATGTTGAGAAGATCCTATAGAGGTTCAACATGAGTGAGGTGAAACCAGTTAGCACTCCCTTAGGTAGTCACTTCAAAATATCTAAGGAGTTACTTTGAAACAAAGCAAGCATAGATGGAGAGAACTCCATATGCCTTAGCAGTTGGAAGTTTGATATATCCGATGATTTGTATCGTACTGTATATTGCATATGCAGTAAAACTGGTCAGCATATACATGGGCAATCCAAGAAGACATCATTGAGAAGCGATAAAGTGGATTCTCATGTATTTGAGGGGAACAATCAATAGGGCACTTTGCCATGAAAGTGTAGGGATCAATCTACATGGTTTTATAGATTCATATCTGACAGGAGATGTGGATTGTAGGAGGTATGACGAGATATATCTTCATTGGGGAACATGATAATGAGTTCGGTTTCTAGGTTGCAGAAGATTGTTGCACTTTTAACTACGGAGGCTAAATATATTGCCATCACCGATGCTAGAAAGCAAATGATTTGCTATAGAATTTCATGATAGAATTGGGCAAGGATTAGGGAATTGGAAAACTCTACAGTTAGAGTATGAGTGCATTCATCTTGTTTGGAACATTGCTTTTCATGACAGGACGAAACTTATCCAGCTCAGATATCATTTTATTCAATCTCTTCTAGAAAATGGGTAGTTATTTCTGGAAAAAGATACCCACAGTTGAGAATCTTGCAATTATGCGGACGAAGATGATGACTATTGGGAAACTAAAGTTATGATTGACTTCAGTTGAGTTTCATGAAGGTTGAGACCGGGTTTGAGCCACACCACGTATATGACCACAATATGTGACTATGAAGTCAATTCAGATGGAGGTGCAGGTACAAAGGACTGGTGCTCGGTGCTATAGTCTCCAAGTGAAAGATTGTTTGGTTATAGAGACTAAGTACAAGGCAATCGACGCATATGCACAAGATTGTGGGGGCTTAAGCGCTCACTTGGGTGCTGCTCGAATAGAGGAGTCGATGCCTACGCGCGGCTTTGGGCGCATATGCACCCACTTTAAGGTGGGCCGACAAACTAAAGTGCCTGTTGCACGAGAGCTTCGCTGTATGGCACCAAGTTCGGGCACCTATGCACTAGAAGCGATTCATGTTGGAAATTGATGTTTAATCCTGATTTTGAGCGGTGTAAGGTAGGGCTTCGTGTATCTCCTTTGGTATTCTTCGACGAGCATTCCATCGAAGGTGAGGGGTGTCAAGGAGGTGGATTTTGATAATTCGGCGTGATTTTTGCGTTGGATCGGATAGGGAAGATTGTAGAGCGAGTCTTGTAAGTTTTTTTTGTGTGTGGAGAGAAAACTTAGGTGTGTTCTTTGTAAAACCTTCTAAATTTCATAGTGAAATCTTTTGGTGGTGTAGCTTTTTGGTTTTTTCTTGTTCTCGGGGTTTCAATGTAAATTTTCGTGCATTTTTTTGGTTGCTTTGGTTGTACTTCTATTTTAATTTTTAATCCGATTTTTTATCGAATTGATGTGATCCCATTATTCCGCGGTGTGATTTAATTTCTTAATGATCCTAAACCCTGATAAAATTGAGATTTGTTCATTGTATGATTCCTAACGCAATCACCACTACTCATCATATAACTAGCTTAAAGCATACTTTATTCATAAGTCATCGTTTATGCTATCGTACAACTATGAAAAATTAATGAAATATGTCTGAGTTCACTCTATTGCTACCTATCTTCTGTCTTTTTTACCTAATATTTTCTAGAAATCTTTCAAGTGTTTTTGTAATTTTATTTTAAAATCAAACAGTTTTAAAAACATCCGGTTTCCTTAAAATCAAATTGATTTGTTAAAACATATTTTTTTTCAAATTAAACCCTAACAAAATAAAATTAAAACAGAATAGAAAAAAAACTGAAAGCGAATAAAAAAGGCCTCTAAACAACTTCATCTTATCTAAACATAGATTCTTAGCGAGAAACTCTCCCGTTTTCTATCAATTTATTTGAATTATATTGCACTCTCTTGATAAATAATCATCAGATATGGTGAAATTATTTAGTGATTGCTCTTAAAGTGATTGCTCTTAAGCTAGAACGTACTTTATTATACAGCTTTCTTTTGTCTATAATTCTACATATCATGTTATTTTCCAAAAATGAAAGAGCTAAAAGAAAAAAATTGAGATAGTTGATGGGGTTAGATTCTTAAAGAGTGATTAGTTCATAGGTTAGTATAGAAGTATTAATAATATAAGAATGATATTATTATCAATAAACATTAATATAATATAAATATAGAATATTTATGAGTTCAAGGTCAATGTGGTTTGGCTTTGAATCATTTTGTCGATCTAAAAGCAGTGGACCGGTATATTAGTCAAAATGAGCGACCGATTGAATACTCTTACATGTATTTATGTGAGAGAACATTTCATGCACGAAACCCTTTTGACATAATTGAAAATAAAATTTGTTATCCACACCTGTGTTTTTAAAACAATAATAGCGTTCTTTGCATAGATTCTTAGTGAGAAGTTCTTCTATTTTCTATCCATTTCTTTAGATTATATTATACTCTTTTAATAAATAATCATCGGACACTGTGACAATTATTTAGCGATTGCTCTTAAGCTAGAACTTACTTTATTTTACAGCTCGTTTCTGCCTATAGTTCCACGCATTATGTTATTTTCCAGGAATGAAAGTGATAAAAGAAAAAACTGGAATAGTTGATGGTGTTAGATTCTCAGAGTGAATACTTCATAGGTTAGTATAATAGTATTAATATTATAATAATGATATTATTATCAATAAACATTAATATAATATAAATGTAGAATATTCATGAGTTCAATGTCAATTTGTTTTGGCTTTGAATCATTTTGGCAATTCAAAAGCAATGAACCGGTATGTTAGTAGAAATGAGTCATAGATTGAATGCTCTCAGATGCCTTTATGTGAGAAAGCATTTCATGCATGAAAACCTCTGGACATATTTCAAAATAAAATTTGTTATCCACACCTGTGTTCTTAAAACTTTAATAACATTCTTTGCCGCCTTGCACTTCGCAGCTTCATCCTTTGCTACCAAACTGGTTTCTTCAAGTCTGCGCTTATATTCTTCGAGTTTCAGACTTTTACTTTGGCATTGTTGTGTTAGTGATATAGCCTGAAAGAAACCATTTTGAAATGCTTCAGAATATTTGCCCTTTCGATTGTACAAACATATAGTGAAATGATAAAAATTATACAAATAGAAACAATAATATCTTCTCTCATTGAACCATATTTGATGGAATCAAACTCAAAGTAAATATTTTACTGTGAGATAGTTTAATTTGGTGTTAGTAACATAACTCAAAAATGCAGAGTTTTACTTAATTGAAGCAAGAATGCAATCAATAAATAGAAATTTAACCTTAGCTTGCAGTTGTTGTAATTCTTCCGCAAGAAACTTCTCCAATTCTGTGGAATTTTGTTTTAAGCTGCTTGCTTTTGGAAGCATAGATTTTGAACGATTTAGTTTATTTGCATCTTCTGAAACTCCTCCCTTGGATTTTGAAACAAACATCATAGACTCCTCTCTCACGTCATTCTTGAACCGAGGTGGGCGCGACACTTGACCCCATTTCTGCGCTCCACCAAACAAAAATTGATCTTTATTCTGCAAATCAACACTTCTCAACGACATAATCTTTCCCTCATTCAACAAAGATTCATCATGCACAATAGATTTCGGAGTAAATATTTTCGGCAGAAAAAAGAAAGATTCATCTTTGTTAATTCTCAAATCAGAAACTCCCTTACTTGTCATCGAAAACTGCCTCGGACTACCGATTTCATTAATCACTCTCAAAGATTCAATCTTTGAGAGCCGATTATAACAAGAATGACAAACACGACTTCTCCGCGCTTTTTTCGGCGTCAAACACGCACCCAAAGCCTTCTTACTGCTGCACGAATGGCAGAACACATATCCGCAAAGATAGCAATTGTGCTTCTTTCGAGTAAAACCAAAAGACATCCGGCAACCAGTGCACAAAATCTGATCTTTGCTGGAAACAGATTTGTGCAGACAAACAGCGGCAGTGAAATTGAGTCCACAAACTATATTTTGCACGTTCCTGCCTTGCAAAGCTTCTACTAAAGCCGGAGAATCTCTATCTTTTGTATCACCTAATCCAAGCCTCCCATTGTCCCCCTTACCCCAAGTAAAAACATTTCCTTTACTCGTCAAAACGGCCACATGAAACGAACCAGACGACAGATCCTTCACAAACTCGTTCTTCAGACAACCTCCAACCGTTCTAATCGATGTATCATCAGCTCGATTCGTTGCACTTCCCATAGTAATCACTAAGCCGTTAACGGTTAACGCAACGGTTAGTGTTCTTCCACATGAAACCTGAACAAAGTCACAGTCCACAAGCGAAGCAATACATGTTGGAATGAGTTTTCGTTCTTTATCACCATGACCAAGTCTCCCTTTATCACTATCTCCCCAAGTAAACAGCTTTCCGCTCCACGTACTGCTCTTGAAGCGGCTAAACGGAACCTCAACAATGGCGGCAGTGTGCCACGGTCCACAAGCGACCGACTTGACTCGTAGACCTTTAAGAGATCCAACTTCTTTTGGCTGAGAATAGCTCTGCTGATTTCCATGGCCGAGTGCTCCAAATATCCCTTCTCCATATGTGAACAGCTGACCAAAACCAGACACAATGGCTGTATGCCACTCTCCACATGCGACTTTCAGTACCTTAATACCGATAAGATTACCAGACATTTTACAAGGTATCCAATGGATTCGATTACTCTCTTCCATAGCATAACCATTACCCCATGTGTATAGTTCTCCAGAACGAGTTATGGCGTAAGTTTGGTTTGAACCGCAAGCTATTGTTTGCACAGAAACGTTGCATAATGATTCGACAAGTTTGGGATATGTAATATCCAAATTTATCTTATGTCCTAATTTCCCACCATTTCCCTCACCCCAACAGAAGACTTCACCTTGTTTCGTGACAAATCCAGCGTGCTTTTCTCCACAAGAGAAGCTCTGCAAATCCAGAATTTGTGTGGATTCCAACAACCTGGGAAGCAAAAAATCGGTTTTGATGCCATCGGTCTCAAAAGCATTGGACTTTTCACCGAAAAATATTCCAACTCCTTCACCCCACATGAAAACGTCCTTCAAAGAATCACCTGTATCAGGCGGGCTTGTTTTAGAACTGGAATTCATGATTTGTTCTTTTATTTTATAGGTCTTGTGAGATAAAAAGGGAAGCTTTTCATCCATTATTTGCTGCTGCACATCCGATAAGGTCCTTTGTCTGAACGAATTAAGCAAATCAGAAGCATCTACGAAACCATCCGGACAAACATTCTCTGCTAGTTTCCTCGGCGGGCTTCCATATTCACTGCAGATCTTTAATCAAAATATAAGAATGTAAGATGGAAACAAACGAACGAATGATATACTTTGAACAATTTAGTATTTTTATAAACCTGTGGGAGCCGAGTTGAATCATGCAGGAATTTTAAAGTATACTTCGTTGATAAATGGGTTACTGGACTGTTCATGCAACTATGCGCTGATCGAGCGGTTCTCAGGAAAGACAGAGGTCTAGGATGATTAGAAATAGACAACAATGATGTCAAGCCTAAAACCCAGCAATCAGCCTGCTCCTTATCTTTACAAATCTAACCCAAAAAGGTGGGGGAAATGCAAAAGAAATTAAACTGCACCACTGGTGCAAATAAAGAAAGAGTTGATGGACTAATTTTGTAAGAGAAGATATAAGGAAAGAGTACCAAGTCAAGGGATCTTTCACCATTCTGATAAACAAGGGAGAAGGACTGACGCTCCTTGTCAGGTTGAAACTGTCTGTGAAAATTACCCTGTAAGAAAATTAAGAAAAAAACTTCATTTTTATTTTGCATAATGCGAAGTTTAATAAAACCTTCCAGGAAAAGAAATATTGAACAAGCTTTGGGCTACGGTATACATACTGTTTTCTGTCCAGCATTGATTTTAGATACAGTATTCAGCTTCAGACATTTTTCCTTCTCACCAGAATACCAAATTAGTGACTTCTCATCCTAAAGATAACCAGCAATATGTTAAAAGGCCATTTAAAGAAAGGAATAAGGTAAATAAATGAAATATAATTTCAAAATAAATTCAGCTGAGATGTAGAATAAGCAAATGTAAAGCAATCAAAATTTAGGATGTGTTTGGGGCAGCTTGTGCTCATCCAGATAAGCAACATAGCTGAAACGCGGCATGTAGGTGGCTCACGGGGTTCGACCCACGGCTTGTGTTTTGTGTAAAAACTCAACCGCGTTTTCAGAGAAACGAGTTTTCCAAATGATGAGGCGGCGTTTTTAGAACGCCGTCAGCACACTTAAAAGCTTCCCCAAACGACCCCTTGGTCCAAAAATATGTTGAGTTATGTAAAAAGAAAGGCTAAAATATAGAAGATGCATATGCACATAATTGGAACATAAATTTTTGCAGAAAAGTCCATCACTCAGTTGATAATGACAAACCGTAACTATAATTTCATGGAATTAGAACTAACAGCCCGGCAATAAAATAACTCAAGTTGTTACCCCAAAATAGCGAGTTTATTTTAACAAATTGATAAATAATATATTTCTTGTGAAGTTTTTATTATTTTTGATAAAAAATAATACAAATAAGTCTTCGCCATTCTGTCTTGTACCTCACCATCATTAAACCTTTCAGTTGCCCATCAAAGTTTTCAGTGCAGTCTAAATATATATATATATATATATAAATTATATATAAATGGGGGCATTTACAAATATAACACTCAATTTCTATGTATTGACATTTCTAACACCTATGCTTTACTTTCTACATTATAAAAAGTCCAAATCATTCATACCACATAAAAAACACCACTATTTTAATTTTTTTTTAAAATGAAATACACCTTTCCATACATAGGTAAAATGACATATATGTAAAAAATTGAAGTTTAGATGATAGATGTATAAATACATAGGACTTGAGTGGGTATGTATGTAAAACTTATACATATAGAAGAGAAAACTTACAGTGGAGAGCCTGAAAGGGCAGAACTTGGGCTTTCCTCTTCTTCCACATTTCAGAAGATGGGCGCCCTTTTTTAGGGCAACAATAGCCTTTGCAGGAATTGAAAGCAACAATTTTAGCCTTTTTAAAAATAGTAAAATTGGCTATTTAATTTTAAAAAATAACATTAAAAAAATGATTTTGGTGGGAACATAGAACAGAGCTCTAGAAACTATGGAGAATGTTAAGAGGACAAAAAGTGACCATAAAAAATTAACAATTTACCAAAAGTAACAAATTTGAAGCCATTTGAAGAGAAAAGTAAAGTAAAGAATGCAAGCTATATCTAGTACGGATAAACCAACAGTAAAAAAATGTGATTTTTATGCAACATTTTTAAAAAAATTATGAAACAAATTTATGCCAACATTTATAAACCCATCATATCTTATGCAACTTAGAACCATATTGGGCTGCTTAATTTGAAATTTATTGACAACTTCAAAATTTCAGAAAATATGATGACTTCATTTCTCACACATAAAAGAGAGAAAATTAAATCAAATATATTTAGAAAGCTGTGAAAATCAACATTCATAAGCCATTGAAGATCCTATTGAACTTAAGATAATGATAAAAATCAATCAAATGTCTGAAAATTTTTGCAAAACAAACCAAAACAACAAATCGAAATCACTTGAAACCACAAAAAAGACAGATATTTACACCCTCTACTACTAAGAAAAAAGGAAAAAAAAATCATGAAAGAACTATAAAACAAATAAGAGAGCCGCAGAAACTATTGAAAACAACAAAAACAAAATCAAATCCCTTAACCCAAACCAGAAGAAGAAAGAAACTCAAACCTGCTCAACTCCTCTTTCAAATGGAGCTCTGCGCCCGGATTTCTCAGCCATTGTTAACTCAAACAATCTTCAGATGGCTTTCATTAAAGCAGCGAAAGGAGAAAGAAAGCACAGAAAATGTCGAAGAAACAAGTGCGGGTGAAGAAAACCAGAATACTCCACTCCAAAAAGGAAAGAGCAGGTTTCTGTTGCAGCTGCAGCTTTGTATGCACGTTAGTAGAAGAAGAAGCAGAGAAGCGAGTTACGGAGCCCAAAATAATATCAAAATCCCTTCTTTTTAGGCAAAAGAAGGAAAGGGATGAGAGAGATGGAGAGATGGCGATTCTTAGCTTTCTGCTTTCCCTTCTCCCAAAACTTCGTTCTATGCCCTTCAGCCTCGAGCTTTACAGAAGAAGGGAGTGGAGCACGTGTGCCTGTGTTGTTCATTCCTCCATAGCATTTGCCTACATACCACCCAATTACTATGTATTTACATATGTATGATTTAAAATTTATCAATAAAATACACATTTTCATACATAGGCATGCGTAAGATGGTGTGGATAAAATAATTAAAGTCTTTCTGTCAGATATGTAAATATATAAGAATTGAGTGGCCTGTATCCAAGTTTAGAAGCAAATAAATAAATCTTAAATAACTCTATTCCATTAAGATTTCACACATGGAGTTACTGACAGAAAAAAAAAAATTACTCGGTAACACAAGAGAATATTCCTCCCGTGTTGTTCCGTATTATTCATGTGTTATTATATGTTATTTAAGTGTTATTGTGTTCTGGAAATATTCCCAGTACTATAATAACACAATAACATATCAATAAAAATTAAATAACACATAATAACATGGGAGGAATATTCTCTTTTGTTACCGGACATATTTTATTTTATTTTTTCTGTCACCATCACTTGGCGGGATTTCATTGAACTCCACACCTAACCCTACGTGCGAAGTCCTGGTGCAATATTTTCATGTGGCTTAAATTTGTTGCTTTTTCATAGAGGCCTTCCAAATATATAAATACCACACGTATCTGCAAATTGCAAAATTGAGAAAACGCTAAAATTTAATATTAGTTTAAGCTTAAATAGGTGCAGCCTTGTTGTTGGTTTCTTTTCTATAATGAATTAGGTGCGGAGTATCAGTCATGGAGAAATCTTATTGTTAGGCTGGATAATGATTCACATTTGATTTATTGTCCTCATTAAAATTTGAATTTTTTTAAGGGAAATTTACATAAGCAGCGCACAATTCTTATGTATTTGCAGATCTCACTTCTAAATTTTCATATTTTACATACATAACACTTTGATGCTTTAAACCTATGCATGAATAGCCATATCTCATTTTTAAAAAGAAATAGTAGCACTATTAAAGATTTGAGTGTTATATATAAAAATATGAAAGTCTAAGCGTGAAATGTGTAAATATCCAACATTTTATCATTCCTGTCACACATTTGAGCGCATATTACGTTGGAACTCCGAACGTAGAGATAAGTTCGGATTCCAATAGTCGTTGTGTTATAGGAATATCCCGCTGCGTTACAGGAATATTTCATCAGCGTATTTGTAAAAAATGAAATGTTATTCGAGTATTATGTGGTGTTATTCGATTACTTTG